GCCTTGGGGACTACAGTTTTGAGAGCAAGCAATTATGGCTCTCTAAAACGTGTTACCCTCAGCATCTTCTCTTCCATTTTTCTTTTGGGGGAAAAGCAAGACAATTAAACTGGTATTCAAATCAAAGCCATGTTTAAGGATAAATCAATCTCTTGGGCTTTATTCAAGGTAGATAAATTCCACCTCAAGTGGTCAGCCCATATCCCATGGGGATTGGTCATTTTATCTCAAACTTTTGCTGGCCAGAGCTGGAGGAAGAAGGTTGAGGATGGAAAGGAAAAACTGAAAAAAGAATTGGTTGGGGCCTAGGATTCAAAGCATGGTTGGTGAATGCTCTTCTCCGGGGATAGAGGAAGGCTGATTTCTCCCTCTCTCCCACCCAAGGGGAAGGCAGCGCAGGGTACCTACAGCCTGGGTGGAGAGCATTTCATTGATGCTGTGGTCGTACTGCTCGGCTAAGATGGCCAGCTTGCGGGTCTGTTCATCCTTCAGACGCTTGAGGATTCCCTTGTGTTCGCTCTTTGGGGTGGTCTCCAAGAGATGGTTGCGGAGGGCCTTGTATTGCCGTGTCTGGATCTTACAGGTGTCCTGAAACTGCTTTTTAATTTGCAGTTCTTTGGACTAGGGGAGCAAGAGGAGGAAGAGGAGAAAAAAAAGGGGGGGGACAAGAAAACAAAAACAGAACAATGCCAGTGACCAGAGGAGGAAGAGGAAGAATGGCAAATAAAGAACAAATGTGAAAGGAAGAGAAGGAGAGAGAGAGAGAGAGAAGGAGAGAGAGAGAGAGAGGAAGAGAGAGAGAGAGAGACAGGAGCATGTATTAGACAAACAACTCCCACCAGTGGGGTTTTTGGTGGGAATAAACCAAATCTAGTTTTACTCAGTAGTTTTACCATTCTAATGTTCCCACTTAAATCAAAGTATGAAATAGCTACAGCCCAACCAAATAGCATTAATGGAGTGAAAATATACTTCCTGTTTTAGGTTGATGAAACATAACAACGTAACAGTTGATAGGAACCTTGGAGGTCTTCTAGTCCAACCCCACTCCCCCCAAGTAGGAAACCCTATACCATTTCAGACAAATGGTTGTCCAATCTCTTCTTTAAAACCTCAGGTTGGAGCACCCAACACCTGGTGGCAAGTCGTTCCACTGATTAATTATTCTAACTTTCAGGAAATTTCTTAGTTCTAGGTTGCTCCTCTCCTTGATTAGTTTCCATCCATTGCTTCTTCTCCTGCCTTCAGATGCTCTGGAGAATAGGTTGACTCCCTTTTCTTTGGGGAAGCCCCTTTGAAATGCTGCTATCGTATTAGCCCTAGTTCTTCTTTTCACTAGACTAGACCTACCCAATTAAATTAGAAATAACCAAAAATGGGATTTGCTCTGAAAGAAGGAACAATGCATTTGCTGACACCATCTATGAGGTAGCTTCAAGAAACAGGACTAGGAGGGCCTTCTTTCTGCCTAAGACCCCATGAAGGATAAATGGCACAAGGCTGCATGGAAAAAAATAATTGAACCAGTCGACGAAGAAGCTTCATATATTCCTTTATGAGAGGATGGCTGCCTGTGGAATAACTAGGGCAATGGGAATGGGGAGACCTGCTAGAAATTTCCTATAGGCCCTACAGGTAATCCTCTACTTACAACCATTTGTTTAATGACCATTCGAAGTTACAACGGCTTTGAAAAAAGTGACTTACAAGCAACCCTCACACTTATGACCCTCACAGCATTCCCACGATCAAAATTCAAGTGCTTGGAAAACCAGCATTTATGTACAATAGTGGCAACGTCCTGGGATAATGTGATTGCCATTTGTGACCTTCTCTGCGGGCTTCCGACAAGCAAAGTCCATAGGGGAAGCCGGATTCACTTAACGACCATACGATCCACTTAACAATTGCAGTGAAATGTTTTACAACCGTGGCTAAAAAAAAAACAGGTTGCAAAACCGGGTATGGCTTACTTATTAACTGCCTTGCTTAGCAGTGAAAATTCTGGCCCCAATTGTGGTTATAAGTCAAGGACTACCAGTATTATGAACTGAGGAGCAGCTGAAGGGTTCTAGCTAGTTCTCCCCGTTGATTATATTTCCTAGTTATCTGTGTTTGGCTGATGACCAGGCGACAGGCAAAGAAGCTTCGGCAGAGAAATTTACAAGGGGTCTGCTTGTTCAAGAGGCTGAAATCTTGGGCAAACATTCAGTAAATATTTGCTTGTTTGTTTCTTCCCGAGTTATCAGTGATCATTCCTGAATATAAAAGGCACAAATGAATGATATGCCAGATTCTGAACTATATCAGAAACTTTACATGTTGGAGTGTGTTAAACAGCTGTATGTTGGACGCCTGTGGCGATTCTGTCATCCGGATCACAGCTGACTCTAAAGTGCTTTTTCAAAAGGCAATTAGACTGTTTTTTTCCCTTGAGAAAGAATTATAACACGTTTCGTTTCTTGTCCAAGAAACTTCATCAATTCTGATGGTGGGGTGGGTGGGTGGGTATGGAAGGATAGTTTCTGACCAGATGGTGGGGGTGGAAGGACTGCATTTCTTTGCAGTCATCTAGTCGTTAATACTCTCCCAGAGAGCTCTTGGCCATTTGCGGGTTTGTCTTTGCCCTCAAGATCACCTGAATCAGAATGCAGTTGGTTGTGCATCCCCTACTTCCAGCCTACAGTGCAGTTCTTGCAGCACTTCCAAGAATATTCCACAGTTGCACCCTGATTCAGGTGACCTTGAGGGTAAAGATAAACCTCCAAGTGGCCTCAACAGCTCTCAGAGAGAGCACTAACAACCAGAGGACTGCAAAGAAATGCAATCCTTCCACATGCACCCCAACACACACACCACACAGTCAGAACCTTTCCTTCTGGGTCATGTTTGTATTGAAATGTAAAAACCTGGAACCACAGTGCTCGCCAAAAGAGATGTTTCTTTTTAAAAAATATATAAAAACAAAAGAAGAAATTGAATAATGAAATTATTATGTATGTTTAAATAATGTGGTGATTGGCATTAGAAGAAGGTATTGGAATGCTGAATAATTAAACAATGAAGGATCATAAACTATTATAAATATGTGTTATCAATATTAGAATTATATATACAAATGTGATGAATGTAAGGGATGTGATTAATGTTGTTATTTCTGCACCAAAATGTATGATGATTAGGTGCCACACTGTTTATGTATTGATGACTATAAGTAAAATAAATTAAAAAAACTTGATTAAAAAAAGAACCTTTCCTTCCATCCTGCCAACATTCAGTCTCAACTGTCCTTCCAACCCTCTCTCTCTCTCACACACACACAAACAAACCATCACCATCACAACATATGAAGTTTCTTGGGTGAGAATTGAAACATTTTGTTTTTATTCCTCAAGGAAAAAACAGTCTGTCTGCTGTTGGAAAAAGGACCTTTGAGACAACTGCATGTTGGGTTTTTCTAAAAAATACTAAAGTGAAAAAAAATAAGTGCACATTACCATAATCTGTATAAAAAAAATGACATCACTGCAGCTCCACATCATGGCCTAAATATAGATGGAAGGTGATATTCTCAACACCCATTCCCCAATAAGCTGGTGATGGCTCTTCATCCTCTATCCTGTTCTGCAACAAAAAATATTCTTCATTCTCATGTTCAGGATTGGAAAGTTTCCACAGGATACCTTTTGAGGACTTATCTCTGTTGGGGGTAACTTCCAATCCATCTGCACTCACTTTAAAAGGAATTTTAGGCCTTCTCTTCTAATCTAAAGCACTATTCAATTTCATTTCAAAATACATGGTGGAGAAATGGAAGGAAGGATGAGAGTAGGTTTCAGCATTAAGATGTCAAATGGAAACTGACATCCCATTTTGCCTAGCAAAACCCAAAATATTGTTTTTCAGGCATTGATAGAACAAACTCAGCCTATTTTTGAGAGACAAGAGTCTGCAAGAGTGATGAATATCTGTTGTTCGTCACTGTATAAAATGTTATACGGATGAAAACTTCATACATTTGTCAAAAATGGACCTGCAGTTACCAAGGACAAACATCATAAATTATTTTTAAATCTTGGAAAAGTTCATTTCTTTGGCAAGGATTTTTAGTGATTTATCGTTCTATCAGCCAGGCTAAAAAACAGTCACAGTACAGAATTTGAATACCCTACTAGTTTAAAATAATTCATGAAGAATGCTGACCCCAGTTTTCCCAATTTGGTGCATTCCAGTTATGTGGACTACAGTCCCATGATCCATGCTAAATTGGCCACATGGAAAACACAAAGGGAGAGAAGGCATTCTGAGCAAAAAATGATGCATCAGGGACTATCACAAAACATGATGCAAGGGATAGGGGTAGGGTTAATCCAAATTATATGCCCTCCTCCCCCTTTACAAGTTATGCTTCCAATTATGAGTTTTGGATATGCAGAAGTGAACTTTTGAGCTGCCAAGGAAATGCTATTCTCTTTTTATTTAAATTGAGTCTATTCACCCCAAAGCTCATATTGATGAGCAAAATGTTTATTTCCTTGCATCTCTGATGACATCCCTCATATCAAAACCCACTCAATTTTTTGTAATTTATGCTACACCTCTGTAATTTATGCTACAACTTTTCATGGCTACAATCTTTCATCATTCTTTGGACATCTAAAATGACCCCAAACCCCAAAGGGGGTGAAAAAATTGTCTATACATTTTCCACTTGTGTATGTTATTTTAATTTATTTCATTAGCACCTCATACACTTGCAAGGTCATAAAGAGAGAAATGAGGTACTAGGAATTAAGGTAACAGTGGAATGTGGAAGAACAAACCTCCACTTACAGCCTCCTAATAATTTTACTTATGGAAACCTAAAAGTACATTAATTGATGTTTTTGGCACAAAGTGCATGAAAATAGACATATAGCCCCATATTTAAGCTTAAGTGCCCTATTTTCTTAAAAATCAAATCACGTCAAACTCAAAATTCACAATACAGAGGTGGTAAATTGTGGTGCAGAATTTTTATTTTTTTTCCTTCAAAATTTCACATGCATCCACAATAGGGAAGGGAGAAATAAATAAACCACAGAAGAATGCCCCCCCGCCACATGAAATGGGAGAAATAAATTAAAAATTATTTAACATAGTTTTTTTTAAAATATGAAGATAGAGGAAAAAACATAGTTCAAACACACAAAAAATGGGAATACAAAATACATTATTAAAATGGACAAGATAGAATCTAGATTAATGAAAACAAGCTTGGCCAAAAAAAAAAAAAAAAAAAGGTTAAGAGGAATGCTAAAAAAAATACACAAATCCATGGATGTTGCAAAACTGAAATAAATTAAAAAAATCACAGGTGAACCAAAAAAGGGAGAAATACAAGGTATGTGCTTTATGCAAACATGGGACCAAAAGCCAGAATCAATGAACATGGAATTATTTCTAATTTAGGATAATCTGAAACTTATTGATGGTAAATTGGGAGGAGGGAACTGGGCTAACTACAACAAGAATGGATAAAAAGAAACTGAAAAAAAAAATACATAGAAATGCAGAGACTGTTTTAAAAATATGCTACCAAAATAAACAGGAATGAAGACTCTTTCAAATTGATTTAAGTCTATAAAACATGGCATTGCCTACAGTTGATGAAGAACTCAGAAAGACAAAAATCTTAGCCACTGCAAAGCTGTTTTTTTTTAATTAACTGCTACTGAAACAAACAGGATTTATTCTCAAAGTTGGTGAATTCAGGACCACTCTGTTTGTTGTCAGTCACGTAAACATCCTGAGTGGATTAAAAATATTGATTCTGTGATGATGTATGTTTATACAGAATCAATTGGACTTTTGGTTTTATTCCCTACCAAATAAATAAAAACTTTAAAAGCTAGTTAATCAACAAAGAAATTAATGCAAACTGATTTGGAATTTTATACAGCAGCTTCCCCTTATTCTTTGGCAAAGTCATCCCAATGCAGTGGATTTCAGTATGTCACAATTAAAATGGATCAAGATACTGGAGTTAAAAAGTGGGGCAGGCTGTAATAGAGTTTGGTGCTTACCGGCTCAAAGTTAAAAAAGGAAAAACGGAGTCATACAGGGAAGCAGCATAATCATTTGGGTTTTCCAGAACTCTCTAACCTGGCTATTGATTAAATGAAAAGAATAGGCCTCTCCTCTCAGTGTCATTTAAGGAGCAAGCTACAGGTAACTGGGGATAAGCATATCATTCTAGCCAGTGAGACATGTGTTAACACCTTTACCCTAAAGCTTAGGAAATGGTTCCTAGAAATGATGTGGCAGCAGAGTTTAAAAGAAGTGAAGTGGGGGGGGGGGGGGGAGAGGGCCTTTGTGATGTTATGAGACAGTTCCCATAAATGTAGCATGCCATTCCTTGGCGGATAAGTCATAGCTGGTCCTTGGGAAAGATAAGAAAAATGGAGCATCACAGTTCTGAAATCCATCCTTGTACTTTAGAGATGGGGTTGGGTTTCCAGTTGTGTAAAAGAAATGAAAAGGCTGCTCTCCTACCTATAAGGCCTCAAACCACACCGGGGGAAGCATTAAAAGGCAAAACAACTTTTGGTTTTTAAAGAGGTTGTCTATGCCCTGGCTGCAGGAGACATTCATACAGAAACATAAAATTTCATATTTGGTAGTTTTTCTTTTCTTTGACCAAAATGCAACTGCCTACACTAAAGCCAACCACCTCAATGCCAAGCCATTCATTTCAAATGCCAGCATGTGGTTTTTCATTTAAAAGAAGAAGAAAAAGCTACTGGGTGGCCCATTATTGTTTTAAGTGGAAAAAATCTACAGCAATAAGCTGTCATTTTATGAATTTCTCCCATTTTCAGTCAAATTGTATTGTCTAAAAATTCTATTACAACCCCTTTCCTCCCTCCACAAAAAATATATATAAAACTCACCAACCTACCCACAAACAAATACAAATATGTACATTCAAGTTCAAACTTTTAAAAAGGGGGATTGTTACAAATATGGTAAAAATGATAAATATATGTATGTGTGTGTAAACATGCACACACACACACACCAATGGTGGAAGTATATACGAACGGCGAAAGAATCACTTAAACTAAGCAAACACTCAGGAGCTGAAGGACTTGGTTTTTCAAAACGTATTTAATTTCTCAAGTCTTCATATCATTATAAAGGGGGTTCGTTCTCTGTGGCAGACGAAGAACTAGTGTATTTTAGCAGGAACTCAAAGCTTTTCAGAAGGTAAAAATGGCTTGACATGAAGACACATTAAAATCTCCTCACTGCACAAGAGATGCTGAAGATGGAAAAAGCAGTCATTACTGCATCTTTTAAATAGAAGTTACCAGAAAGAATTTGTAAAGAATGGGACATTATTTATTTTATTGGCAAACCTGGAGCTGTCTTATCTCGGATGATGGAAATAGGAAATATTTGGCCCTCCCAAATAGCAGACACAAAAGGGTCTCAGGTGATTCTTTCCTCGTTGACACAATGAACACAAGACAAAACCTCCCGTCCACACCCAATATGTAAATAATCAGAGCTCATACAAACATTTGGTTCTCCACTCTGATCATATTAAAGCTTCTTTTACCAAACACATCCTGCCCAGAACCTCCTGGTAAGAAAACAGCAAAACATCAACAAACCTTGGAGGGAGGGAAAAAAATGACTTTGAGAGTAAATACTGGAAAAGTACTTCGGTCTGATTCCCCAGAACTCCAGAAGCTGGCCCACTGCACAGAATATTGCCATGTGAGAGGCAGGCAGTTCAACTGGAATGGCTTGTTTCACAATGATAGGCAAGGAATAGAAACCCAAGATACTGGAGGGCTGTTATCTCCAGGGCTTCCTGACAGGTGGGGACACACGCAGGCGACCACTGCTTCTATTCAACTGTCTCAATGGCCCACTGGAATGGTTTCTGGGCCTTGCCACACGTGCCACCAAGCAGGGGATACGGCTGGGCCTTTCCTCCCTCAGAACATATAAGCCTTTGAGACAATGGAGCACAGAAGGGGGCAGCTGAGCGCAGATCACCTTGGTGAGGATCCTGTTGAGGGTACGGATTGGTTTGGCAAGGAGAGCGAGGATCCGGTGGTGCCAGGGGAGGGGCGGCTGCCGATGGCGGGATAATACCGGGATACGGCTCCGGAAGCTGCCTTTGTTTGTTTTGGGGAAGAGGCGGAAGAGCCCCTGTTCGCTAACCAGCCCCAGGCGCTGCAAGATCCGGAAAACCGGGCGTGGGAAATGCAGAAGAGCCAAGAGCAGAAACCGACGGGCATGGCGGGGAAATCCCTTTAGGCTGTGCCTTGCCAGGGCCCCCAGGAGATAAAGGGGCAGGAAAACCCAGGGAGAAGCTAAGAGGCAAGAGGCCAAAAGAATGACCGGGACATACAGGCGCCCCCTGTTGGCACTCAACCCCACCACCCCTACTGTCCCCCCCACCTTGATAAGAAGAAGGAAGGAGGAGCCGGAGAGAAGAAAGACAGAGTGCAACAGGGTGTACGTAACCGCCAGGCCCACTAGGAATCCTTCAAGGGCCAGGAGGACATCTTGAAAACTCCCCCCCTGGGCCCAGAGAGCAGCGAGCAAAAGCAGCAGGGTGGGGGCACAAGGGTACGCAGAGACCAACAAGGCCAAAGCCACACAGAGAACATGAGGCAAAACGGTTGCCACTGGAGAGGTGGCCGGCTGGGATTTGCCAGCCCCCTGTTGACTGTAGGGATCGTCGCTGGCTGGGCAGCCATCGCCTGAACCTCTCAAGGACCCCTCCTCTAGAATAGTGGGGAGAGACTGAGCGTACAAATCCTCTTGGTCTAGAAATGGTTCTAGCTCTTCGTCGGCTTCTTGGCCATCAGGCTCCGGGACGCCTGGTCGCCCCCAGATCGGCAGCAGAGCCTCAGAGGCATCTCTGCAGAGATCCAGCTCTCCAAGAAACTTCTGGCTCAGACCTACATCGGTAACTCCCTTGCCATACAGTTCTTGCTGTTTTAGGCTAGCCATAGAATAGTCTAAAATCCACCTTTTGCTGCTTGAACCTAAGACATCGTGACCCTCCCCATCGAGCCCCAGACACTCCTGTCTTTCCTCCAAATTTTCTGCTTCCTGCCCATCTGGAATGACATCTGCCATGCAGGGCCAATCAGGCTTCACCTCTCCACAATCTCTCATTTTTGACATCAAAGACTCTACGCCCTGATCCAAGCCTAGAATGCCCTTTTGTGACCACTCTTGGACAGGAGGCCCCACATGCACTGCGTCCAGCCGTGGAGTTTCCTCCTCTTGACTGCATTCCTGGACCATCTGTTCATGACCGTCTAGCTCAGACTTTGAAATGTCCTTTGTATGTGTGTACATCTCTAAAAGGTCTGGGTATTCTATCTCCACATTCCCTATCTCAGCTTCAACCTGAGTTGACTCCAAAACCTCTCCAACATGTGTGCCATCACCTCTATCATCACAAACACAATCTGACTCCAGGACATCCAACTGACACCCTTTTGGATCTAGATACTCAGTGTGCGCGTCTGCCAGAGGCTCCTGATCCCCCGCCACACTGTCCCAAGGACCATGCCCACCCAAAAGGTCCTGTCCAGAGTCTAGACTTCCAGCCTCATATCTGTCCATTTCCGTCACCCCTGAGTGCCCCTGCCCTGACTCCAGAACTCCCACAACCTGCCCTTCCGGGCACAACTGGCAGCAAGGTGGTGTGTAGGTAGCACCTACTTTGAGGCTTTTAGGCTGCTGCCGGACCTCCATGGCATGCTTCTGGCGCAGTTCCTGTTCACGGCGCTTATTGTATTCCAGCTGATTTGACAGCTCAGTTTGGTGTTGCAGACGGGTAAGCTCTGTGCGGGTACGCTGGACAGTATGAAGGTGGCGAAATTCCAGCTCCTGGGTAGACTCATGCTGGCGCAGCAACATGGCGCACTCCAGATCCTTCTGTGTTTGTTTCTTGTTCAGTTCCTGGGGGTCAGGGGTGGGGAAGAGAGCAGAGTTAGAATGTCCGGATCCATAGAGTGTTATCTATGGTTCCAATATATATGAAATATTCAGCACTTTTCTTTCTTTTGTCCAATGAGAACCCTCTTCTCTAATGGCCAAACAGCAACTTTTTTAGCAATAGCAACAGCACTTAGACTTATATACTGCTTCATAGTGCTTTACAGCCCTCTCTAAGCGGTTTACAGAGTCAGCCTCTTGCCCCCAACTATCTGGGTCCTCATTTTACCTACCTCGGAAGGTTGGAAGGCTGAGTCAACCTTGAGCCTGGTGGGATCTGATCTGACAAATTGCAGAGTCAGCAGAAGTAGCCTGCAGTACTGCACTCTAACCACTGCGCCATTGCAGCTCATATTAGGGACCCCTTTTTCATTGCCCTTTGACTTAGTATCCTATTTGTGTAAGTGAACAATATGAGAGTTGATACCATATCAACCACGATACACTTCTGGACGATCTAGGGTTTGGGAGTGGTTTTCCTTTCTCTGTAGTTGGGTTTAGTTGGTAGGTAGGGAGATCAGGCCTGGGACTTTTGCACACAGGGTGGATTAGATTTCAATGCGCCTCAATGTGCCCCACACGTATTTCTATGTGGTGTCTAAACAGGACTGCATCAATTTGGGGTCAGATATCATGATTATGATCTCCAACTGTATGCCTTGATTTTGGGCTGATCAGGTGATTATCACAAAGTCTTGTTCCAGTCCTTGAGGTTGTGTGGATCTGGATGGGTAGAAACACCCAACCCTGAGAAGACAGAGTGGTTTTGAGTATGTGGACTATCCAGATCTGGAGATATTCCATCTTTAGTCTTGAAAGGGTTAATACTTCCCCTTTCAGGACTGTGGCCCAATTTGAGGATCTTCATGGGCTCACAACTCCTGCTCAAACAACGGGTGGCATTTGCGGCCAGGGATATTCTTGCTTAGAAAGAAGCCAATAGGCTTCCAGGTGCAATTCAAGGAGTTGCTTATCTCTCTTTCTAAAACTCTCATTTCTATAACCTTTAACTGGGCAAAATGGTGCTTTAGGAAACAATTTTTGAACCAAGGTTCCTCAAATGGATTAATTTACCTAACGTGTCTAAAATCCGGGACCCATAACTCCCATGGAATTGAAATTTGGCAAACTGTATAAAACATTTTATGACATCAAAATCATAAAGTGGTTTATGACATAATACATAATGTCATAAAGTATTTCCTCTGCTGATGTCTAATTGTGCTATACAGTTCAACATGGGCAATTTTTCCAATGAAGACACTGCACGAGACCTTCTGTCACTCAGGAATCTGGTAAGGAAACATCTTTGAAAGGATGACCCATCGGTTGTCTAGTTACCTATAATGCCATCCATGGCATGGTGGATTGTCTGCTCATCCCATGACTGGCAGAGTCAACATGTTCTGGTTCCCACTTATTTAGACAATAGCAATAGCACTTAGACTTATATACCACTTTATAGTGCTTTACAGCCTTCTCAAAGCTTACAGAGTCAGCATATTGCCCCCAACAATCTGGGTCCTCATGTTATCTGATGGGACCAAATAACAAAAATGTGGACTTTCCTTGCCGTGGAGCCTCCATCTTCTAAAGTAATTCCCCCAGGATTCATATGGCCTCCAACCTGGCATAATTTAAACAACCTTTTAAAAATCTGGCTTTTCTCCAGGCCTTGGACTAAAGTCGATGGTTGACTCCTCCTAATTAGTTTGCTAGAGGCTGTGCTATTTTTCCTCTGAGCGGTTTATATATTGGTTTTGTATTGTAATATTTTAAATGGTTTAATATTATACCCTGTCGAATGTTGCTAGGGAATTGGGTGGCCTAACTTCATTTAATTAGTGGACATTTAATTAATTAATAAGTCACAAAAAGCTTGCAAAGGCAGGCATTCAAGTAACCACTCATTATGGCAACTCTTTCCAAAGAGATACGAGTGGGGGAAAAAGGGGCACACAATTTAGCCTGCCCAACACACCCACCCCTCAGAGTACATCTCCTGCTGTTTTGCTTTTCAAGCACAGATTCCCCCCCCTTCCTGCTCCCATCAGGCACCAATTACTGCTCCCCACCTCCCGCAGTAAGTCTTGGTCCAAGTTATGGCGTGCCAGCAGCATCTTGCGTTTGTACTGGCGGCATTGCAGCTCAAAGTACTGCCGCTGGCGCCGCAAAAGGTTAGCCTCTTCCTCGGCCTGATAATGTTGCATGTTTTCTTTTTGTCTCAGCAACCATTCCTGCTTTTCCCGCTTGGGTGTGCTCTGATTCTCCTGCAGCTCCTGCAAAAGGAATAACACAAAAAAGTGAACACTCCTTTGTTGACACATTGGCCTAAGCTTTGGCTGTTGATAGGCAGCATGTTGACAAACTGCAATGACCGAGTTCATCTGACACGCTAACCCGCAACTCAGTATACCACTGAATTATGGTTAACGTGGTGTGCAAATTTAGATGTGGGGAAGTACAGCCATTGCCCCTCCAACATTTGTGTACAAGAGTGGAAAAGACTGTGGATAGATTCCTCCAAATGTGGTCAGCCCACGGGTTTTGGAATACAGATCTCATGATCTCTAGCTCGCCTACCAAGACATATATTAAGGAAACCTATCTTGGCAACAGTTCACAGCTGGAGATTAACAGGTGCAGAATTCCAAAAGAATACATATAAATTATACCTGCAGGCAAATATTCATTTCCTTTTTAATATACCTTTTCATTTTTATCCCAGAACAACAACAAACACAGGGGACATAAAACCCTGACTTCCAACAATGTCTCTCCATGTTTGCCACAGTATATGATATTTCTATCTTTCTCTTCAAAGATACAGGCTGCGTATCATTATAGGAACTGTCAGCATGACAGCATAAATCTCACTTGGTTATTTCTGGCCTTTTAGGGCATACTATTTTCCACATATTCCTAAAAACCAGTTAAATATTTTATCTTCCCCTAAAGAAGGCATTTGCAGCATTTTACATGAAATAAAACAAATCAAAATAAGAAGAGGACAATTTGTGGCAGGAATTGCTAAAAGTTGGGTGACATGTAAATCTAACTCATTATTTTTCATCCTCATCATCACCATTGCTCTGAAAGGCTCCCTAGTCACAAGCAGAGGCAGGGTGGCAAAAGGAACTTTGAAAAGTCAGTTGCCAAACCAGTGTGGGATAATGAACTTTCGCTTTCCTGCTGCTACGTTTCACTACCCTTCAAATCAGGATACCTCTTTCAGCTGCTCCTTCCGTAACTTATACTGGCGCTTCTGTGATTCAAGTAAGTTGCCCAACTCCTTCTTCTGTTGACCCAAGATATGTTGCTGAAATTTCTTCTCTTCGGCCAGGGCAGCTTTTGCCTGCAGTCAGGGTCACCAATGATGGGAGTGGAACAGAAAGATAGCTTAGCCATGCCTCGGCTTGCATACGTGCTGGCAATTTTGTACATAGTCAGAACATCATCCAAGAGGGTGGGGAAACTAGACATTACTGCAGATGGGATGTGACTAATAACTTTAAACCATCCTTTACAGCAGAGGTCCCCAAACCCCGGCCCTTTAGGAAGCAAGCCACTGAAGTGGGGAGGGGGGAGGGTGCGAGTCTGCAAAGCTTCATTTGTGCTCGTGCAGGATTTAGGTTGCACGTGCAAAACCATTTTCCCGCCCACCCCCGAAACTGCCAAAGCCTTTGCCACCAGTTCGTGGAACCAAAAAGGTTAGGGACCCCTGCTTTAGAGAGAAATGGGACTCCTAGTATGGGAAAGTGTACCATTTGATCTCTGGGAAGAAATGGCAAACCACCGTGGGATGAAGAGCCAGGGAGCAGATTGTCTCTTCGTCTGGACAAGGAGGAAACTTGAGATTGCCCACACCTATACCAACAGTTTGCTCCTCAGGAGGAGGCCGCAACCTCTGGTAGATTTAGAGCTCTGTGAGATGAGTTATCTTGCTCAATCCACAGTTGGGGCTTTTAAGAACAGTGGGTTTGCATATTTCTTTTTCTAATCACTTTTGGAAACTGCTTGTTGACTGCTGGTCAGATATTAAGAACCTTTGGATTGAGACGTTTTACAGCACTGGATGAATTTCCTTCCATCTTTAGTGAAAAAAGTTCTTAAATACAAGTTTAAGTACTTAAAAAAATTCTTTTAGAATAAACAGCAAAAGGTGATTAAAACGTTGACTTTGGAAAGTTGCAAGTCAATGAGGGGCCAAGACAAGATTTTTTTTTTTTTTTAAAGGGAATTAATTGAAAGAATCCTTCCCATGAGAAAATTATTTTGTTTTGAATTCTCCAAAAGAAATCACGAAGGCTCAACATTAGAGGGAATCAAAAGGAGCCAAAGATTACAATTAAAGAGGATCACTTAAATTTGAATTATTAATATAGGATGAAGCAAAATATTTTAACATGGGATGCACTGAAAGACTACCTTGAACAATGTCAATTTTACAAGCGTCTGTCTCTAACTACACTGTTTCAAGGATATTAGGAAAGAGGAACAAGTTTTACTTGATAAGATTGAGGGAGCTGAAAGCGGATTTAAAAATGGCAGCTACAAGAATGTTATGGAAAAAAGATATACTGGATATACAAAAGAAACTGGCTGATATCTTAATAATTAAAAAGGATAATATATTAAGAGAAAAATTTTCCTATACTCAATTTACAGAAGAGAGCTTTGAAGAATTTTACAGAGGGGACAAAGAAAATATGAAAAGAAGCTCTAGGTCCTGGGACATTATTTGAATGGATCAAGATTGTTAAAAGCAAAGGGAAGGAATATCAAGTTGGTTTATTTGTCCAAGGTTAAAATAGATACGCTGTTATCTCCAGAAACCTTACAGTGAACTTTTGCTGATTAGGATTGAAACGACAAGAGATGGGAGGAAGCAGGAAGAAGAATTCATGGGCTGTATTTTAAGAGAAGGTAATAAGTTGTTAAAATTGCTTATACGTTTGATGAAGAAGTCATTTCTTTATAGCTCTTTTTTTCTTTATTCTTATTTTTGTATCTTTTCTATTTTTATTTTTTCCCCTTTTCTGCACATACTATTTTTTCTTTGTATTCTTTTATTTTTTAAATTGTATTAGTTTTTAATCTCTGTAATTGTAATTGTTAATAAAAATATTATACAATAATTATACAATTTGTACAAGGCATAACATTTCTCGACAAGCGAAATAACTGATTGTAAACACCCTTGCCTAAATTATTCAATTCTTTGGGGGAGGATGTTTTAATTTTAAAGAATAGATCAGATCCAGGAACATAGGGGCCTGTTATGACCAAACCTATTTCTGTTTAGGATAATTGATCTCCTTGCTTGCGTGGCCAGAAGGATTGGGAACAATCAGAACAGTGTGAGTTAATCAGAGAGGCTCTTCCCAAGCAAACCTGCAATACTTTATTTAATCTCACAAGAGTTGTGTATGAATGTGCATGGGAAGGAATAATCAAAAGGAAATAGGGGAAATAATTACTTCAATTTGGAGATAGTTTTTCACCAAGGATTAAAAAACATGCCACCTAAACAGTTCACAGTACTTTGGTGACATGCCTGAAGGTGGTGATCAGCTCATTTAAGAATGGGTGATAAAAATACTGGTCTCATGAAATTACCATTAATTTGCATGATTTCAATCTTCTCTCATGAGACTTTGCAATTTTTTCAGGCAAGAATGCTGAAATGACTCAAAAATTTGGGATCAGTATTAGCAATTTGGACAATTTTTCCTTCCTTCCTTCCTTCTTCCTTCCCTTCCCTCCTTCTGTTTGAAATAAGCTGTTTTAGTCCCTGTTATACTAAAGGGATTTAATTTTTGCCTTTCACTGTAATAAATCCCACTGCAACTTGTGCTGGAGGCTAAAGTTTCCCACCTTCCTAATCTCATAGGAATTCATTTGTAGTTTCTACCCCTTTGGCCAAGTGATCTTCCATCTCCCTATCCAAGTCACCTGTTCTCACCTCTTTCTCAAAAATAGCCTGATGCTTCTTGGCCAGTTTTTCAGCCTCAGCCGAGAAGTTGTTGCGGTGGGCCTCAAGCTCTTTGTCGAGACGTAGCTGGTGCTCGTCCAGTTCAGCCCGCAGTTTGTTCTCCAGAGCCAGCAGCTGTTTCTGATGTTGACGCCGCATCCGTTTGTAGCCACTCATCTGATCCCGTAGTGCCGAGTCTTGCTCATGCTCCTGGATTTGGCGAGTCACCTGAAAGGAAGGAACGGAAGAGAGGAAGAAGAGAGAAACAGGAAAAAATTAATCCAAATTTAATTTAATCCAAAAGTATGATGGGGAGACAATACCATTCATGGGTTTATTACTCAGCTAATCCTGCCGTGGGGTAACAGGAACAATATACTGAAGTGTTGTGCACATTCAGACCTGAAGCAGGCAAGGATCTGGTATGAGCATCTTCTCACTCTCTCTCTCTTGGCTGATCCTCGTACCGGATCGTATCTTTTCCTGGATTTGCACGCGGCCTGAAGAGGCTCAGGAAAAATTACCTTCCAGTCAAGGAGAGGTTAAGGTGATGGGAGACAGGGCAGCAGTGGGCAGTTTCCTACTACCACTTGCACTGTGCCAGCCAAAGAAAAGCCACAGCCTCCAAAGAGTAGAAAAAGAGTGCTCACGCTGGATCCTATGTATGTACCCTCGTGCACTTTGGATCCAACTATAGCACGCCTCTAGTACACAGAACCTCCCTTGATGGTAAAGAAACTTTTCTAAATTAAATAACTGAAATAATCAAGTATTTAATAATTCAATTTTTTTAATTGTATGAGATTTAATGAAGCAGCTGTCTTAAGAAACAGAAGCATTCACATTTTAAATAAATATTGCTAACCTCTCTCAGAAAATTGTTGAAAAAAATGTTCTCAATAGGCATAGGTATAGGTTTCTGCCACTTATCCATAGTTCTGGACTTACCAAAGGAAACTTTCAACTGTTTTGCTTGATCAACTCCTAAATAATGTTAAAAATAGTAATACGTCCAAAGCCTTCTTGTTCACCATGAATACACCTTTTAAAAAAAATAGGCAGAACACAACTGCATTTCAGTTAATTCAGATTTCTTTCTGTCTTAATTTTGTCTGCTTCTTGCTTAACAACTGCACTGCAGCAAATTCCTACAAAGGGCTCCAGATGCCACAAACATTGAAACTTCACTGACTAATACATTAAGAGAAAGGAAGAAGAAGGTTTAGTAGGCAGTACCCCCAGCAATTTATGAAACCACCGGCAAAGGAAGGAGGTTAGCAAAACAAAATGAAAGAACTGAATCCAACTGAAATCAAGTTTGGCATAAGGATGAAGGTGCTGGACCAGAAACCAGGAAACTGAGTTCTAATCCTCCTTTTAGGCATGAAAAGCAGCTAGTGACTTTGGCCATACACTTGATCAGCCAACCCATCTCACGGGGTGGTTGTTGAGGAAAAAATAGAAGGCGAGACCATTCTATGCATTGCTTTTGAGTTGTACAAAATACGAAGGCAGGATTATCAATCTTCTAATAATGCAATAAAGTATAAGCAACTTTCTCCCCTCACCAGAGAAGCCGTACGAATGGTGGCAAAGTGATCTCGATTACGGCAGTAGGCACGACGTCGGGCAGCTGACGATGAGCTCTGGGGCTCCATTTCTGGCTGGTAGGGATCATCATACAGATTGTCATGGCCCTGAAAAGCATTAACATGCACATAAGAAGCGATGCCTCAGCTTCTAACATTGCAACTTTTCCTTTAAAAGGCACAAACAAGAGTGTAGAGTCGGCAGATCAAACAGCACTTCTATGAATAATTTAGACTAGCCAGTTTTAGGAAGTGGAAGTGTGGAGATATAGTGGAGCAGGACCACAAGCTGTTATAGAGAGTACTATAGAAGGAATTCCAAGATTTTCAGAAGTTTAAAGCAATATAGTCCCTAAGGCCATCTTCCAAACTTGACGCCATCCAGATGTGTTGTGGCAGTAATTCCTAGAATTCTAAGCAACTGGAAAGTGTATCAGATGAACATCTGTGCCATGTTGAGAAAACCTAGATTGAGGCTTCAACTTCAGTCATGTTTCCATTCTTAAGCACAAAGCAAGATCACATGAACAGACCACATTAAACATGAACAGACTAGGCATTTGTAATCTAGTTGGGTTTCCTCCAACTGCTGTTTCCAAAGCATGTAGAAACTTGGCTGCAACCCCAAGAAATGTAGAAAGCTAGGGAAAACCAGTGTAGAAAAGAACTGATTCCCCCCCTACAAAACAAAGGGGGGTGGGTGGGAAAGTTTATCCACCCATGTCTAAGGAAGTAGGATGCAATGTTCCACAGAAATCCAGTTCTGTGATCATCAGCATGCTTCTCTCTCTCCTTTCTCATCCCCACTCTGGACTTCCATTTTCTCTACCAAGTCTGGTTTTTTTTGTTTCATTATAAAGAGGTAAAGGATACTCCACATTCAAAACTGAGCTTTCCCCTTATTATCTGAAGATTCCCATATCCTTATGGCCGATCTGCAGGAAGGCTTACGTTTTCTATCGCTTACGTTTTCTATCACATGCTAGAAAATATTCCACAATGTTTCCCAACCTTCGCTTTATTCTGAAATTGACATTTGACTGCTCTTGCAGAAGGACACTGAGTTCTATACCGGCAGACGGTGGATGACAGAGCTATTCGAGGTGACGGTGTGCTCGCCTTCCTGCATCATGGCCATCTCAGCCCCATCATCATCATCTGAGGCATCGGCCAGGCTGTTAACGCTGCTGCTCTGACTGCTGGCACTAATGGACATACTGGGTACCGAGTGGCTGCTCTCCATGCTATTGATGGTTCCTGTCCGGTGAAGAAACTGCTCTACTTCCTGAAACAGCAAAGAAGGATTAAATGAGAAAGGTGTTACTACACTGTTACTCTCGTGGTGGTGAGAGAATTATGTGAGCTGAGGTCCAAGAAAGTCGGGGAGAACTGTATCAGAGAAAGTAGGAAAACAACCACAAACCTCTTCCTCTTCTGGTGCCTCTGCATTTGGACCATTCTGAGCCTCCTGGAAGAGGATTTTCTTCATCTTGCGGTACTGCAGATTGTCAAGCTCCCTCACTGCATCCTTGGTCCTCTGAATCAGGTCCATGATAACCGTCTGGGGTCGCTCCCGCAACAGAAAGCGATGCTGTGGAGTCACAGGAAGAACTAGCATGAAACCAAGGAAGTAGGTCTGCAAAAGGTCTCCAAAGTTACCCACTGATCTCTTAGAATTTGCGATCTGACCAATCCTTTTTCACTATTAAGTACATTCACAGAGTTGGATAACAACCACTGAGCTTTCTTAGGATCTAATAACTATATTCCTTTAACAATGCATAATTACTCTTAATTTAACTCGAGTAAAACTAGATTTAACATGTAATGGTTACTCCAGTCCACTTAGGAACAGAAAGTGAGAGAAACTCAAATACACTGGAAGAAAGAATAATTCATTGCTTAATAAGGAAAAACATCAACCAAAATCAATGCTAGGTATATACTTTCAACACACAATTCTACAATTCTATGAATCCAATGTGAAGATTCAGTATTTTTCATAGGTATGTGTGGAATAAATGATGAAGAGTGGTATTTATTAGGATGTAAGAAACATCTGTACCAACATTTTTCATGTATTACCAGTTCCCGATGCTAGCTTTTCCCTTAATACATTCTTCTGATTTAAATATTTAGTGTTCTTATCTTTGCTTTAACTTCTTTTCGTCCCAGATGGGATTAAATGAATACAACTTTCACAGCTACAGGCATGGTGCGCTGGGGATGCGAAAAAAAGAAGAATCGGGAGTGAAAACGGGTGGAAGATACCTTAAGCAGCACATCAGAGGTTGGACGGTCCTGGGGGATCTTCTGCAGGCATGAATCCACAAAATTTCGGAAATATTCAGACCTGAAGAAAACAGGGAAGAGAGGCAGGGATTCATTTGAATCTACAAACCTATCTTTCTCTTTTTGCAAGCTTACAGCCATTTCTGGAGTTTTCCTTACCAGTGACTAGATTGCAGCAGTGGTGAATCATTCTGGGCGATGTGGTATAAGGCACTCATAGCATTCATGTTAAAGAGGGGTGGTTTGCGTTCCGCTGAAGATACAAGGACAGTAATGTTAGCACCAGTGTTTGTGTTTTTGCACATCATTCAATTAACTCCAACCTTATAAGGCAAGTAGCTCATTCCATACCAAGTTCAATGCAAGTGATGCCAAGTGACCAGACATCCACCTTGCCATCATACTGCCCCTCATCCATGGCTAGAATCACCTCAGGAGCCATCCTAAAAAGAGAGCGCAAGATTAAGCAATCATACCTTGTAACTTAGCAATGGCTCACATTGTTACATAGAGACTGACCCTGGACATAGACCACAAAATACAGCCAAACTGTCAATGTTGCTAGTAATCAAAGGTGGGAAATCATTAAACACATGAATGTGTATTATTAATATATATTTAATATATTTCATTTTCTTAGGCCCATTACTTCTTGAAATGAGGCTACAAAGCATGCGCCTCAAAATTCACATATGGTGCCCCCCCAAAACTGGAACATTCCTGAATTACACCCTCTAATCTTTGACTTATAAAAGGAGACTTCATAATTTTTTTTTTTTTTGGAATCAACTGCTGTTAAAATTACACTGAGACTCTTTGCAAACCCAGGAAACCCACATTTCTAACGATCAAATTTCTTCTTGTTCAAAGAACTAGAGAGTGTCAAATGCATATCTACTCCCTCACTGTCTCTCCAGCCAACCTTCACTCTTCCTAATTACACAAAAATCTCATTCTGCCAGCTTACCAGTACGGAGTGCCAACAAAGGAGTTAGCAGGAGCAATGATAGAAGCTGAGCCAAAGTCCCCCAGCTTCACTTGTCCTGGTTCAGTCAGAAGGATATTCCCAGCTTTCACGTCCCTGAAAAGACAGGCACAGTGATTAAACATTGAACAGAGAAATGGAGAACACAGTGGACGAATATGGGCAGCCAAGATGAAAAAGGAGTGTGAGTGGCAGGAGAAAACAGGAGGACAAAGATTAGAGCAACATGTAAAAGAATCAGGACAAGGAAGACCAGGAGAAAGAGAGAGGGATCCATCAGCAAACTTCTAATTTTGGTAATGGCCTCTGACTCTCAATAGTTTGATAGCAACAAGTGAAAGATTTCTACTCTACTTAAATTAGGCTGCTGAAATGAGGAATTTTTTTTAGTAGAAGAGTGTGTATAGTTCTTGAGTTGAAAACATGTAGGTAGTCCTTTTTTTAAGCAGTCATCAAGCAAAGTGGTTACTAAGTGAAACTGTGACTGCATTTATTATCAGACTTCTTCTGTTGTTTGCTTTACTGACTTGCGAAAGTTGTAAATTTGAGGATTGGTAGTAGAGTTATTTTTTCATCAATGTGGTAACTTCAAACAGTTGCTAAAACAGGCAGTCACTAAATGTGGACTACCTATATTAACTGCAACATTTGATAAAAAGCAACATGTTTTAAATATATATTTTTTCCTTAAGTTGTTTGGGATATCAAGGATTTATTATATAAAAAAACAGATTTAAGAAATTGGAAGACTGTCCAGTTCTGATAATTGAGCTAGACTGCATGAAGTGCAACATTTGACTGAAGCATGAATTTAACAAGTAATGTTGCCATTCTACCTGCAAATCATATAAAGAGAACAAACAGTAAAATGTAGCAAAAACAGGGTTGTGTCAGAGAGAGACGCATGGAGCTGATTGAAAAACAGAGTAATAGATTCTGGTACAGATTTTGCAATGCAGCAAACATTAGATCATACTGTCCTACACAAAATGGATGTTATAAGCCAAGGGTCTTCAAACTTGGCAAGTTTAAGACTTGTGGACTTCAACTCTCAGAATTCCTGAGCTAACATGACTGAAGGAGATATCCTGGGAGTTGGAAGTCCACAAGTCTTAAATTGCCAAGTTTGAAGACCCCTGTTATAAGCAGCAACATTTCTAAGAGAGTGCAGTAACACAATATAGAGCTCACCTGTGGATCATATTGTGCGAATGCAGGTAGGCAAGTCCCTGCAGAGCACCATGCGTTATGGCTGCAATCTCTACTTCCTGCAGTGGTTTCTTGTGCACTAGGAAAGAAAGAGAGGGGGAAAGAACATTATTTAAAGGTCTCAGAAAAGTTTTGGAAGACTGGTCTCTTCAATTAGTCTTGGACTCACCTTCCAGCAAATCTGAGGCTGAGCCAAGGCAGTATTCCATCACCAGCTAGTGAATTAAGAGGAAATTTTAGCATAGGGCAAATAAATCATTTAAACTTCAAACATCCTGTTCCAATCAGGGCTCCGGGAGCCCAGTATGCCAATTCCATCTTGTACCTGGCATTTCCAATTCACTAAGAATATAAGAACCCCCACTATATCAGACCAAAAGTCTACCATTCTTGCATCAATGACATCCAGACATCCCCCGGCAAAAAAAAAACCCAAAATACCACTAAAAACAATTTTCTCCATGATTTTCAAGAAAGGAACCAGCACTCTATTGCACTGCAATTCCCTCCCTTAAATTGCACTAAGGTTTCAGGCAGAGAAGCAAGAAATCCAGTCATCATTCAGGCCCTTTTCAAGACTTCCCCAAAGCCCAGTTCATCTGCATTTTCACTGCGTATCTTCAATTCTTGAAAAGGCTTTCTGTAATATATCACCTCAATGGCTTAAGAATGATCTGTTTCACTCTCATCTTACCCATGCTGTATGTTCCCGTAAGTAGCAGCCCTTGTATTCAATTGTGTTTGGGTGTCGTAGCTTTTGCAAAAATTTCACCTCCTTGATAATGTCCTGCCATTTCTGGAAAATACAAAGAGAGCCTGAGCTCCCATATATACTTCTACATTTCGAATAAAGGAGAGAATATTACAAGATGCCTAGAAAATTTGAAAAGCAGGAGAACTGGATTACCTAGGCCAGGGACAGGCTAGAAGTTAATGGTCAACACAACTGTTAATAGTTTAAAAAAGACCAACCTCATTAGACTGCTTCCCACTGTAGGACATCTTCTTAATAGCCACCACTTCATTGTTGCGTATGTCTCTAGCCTGAGGAAGATAATGAGAGTAAACCAAAGAAGGATGATGAAAATAACTATCTGCATCCACAGTCACGTTCAGAGAGGAACTTTATTCCTACGCCTGGAAAAAATACAGTTCAAAAGGAGTAAATTTCACATCGCATGGTGAATCACCCATTCTTAGAACAGAGATGCCCATGAGGCCAGAGATACATGGGATTGGTGAGTACCCTATAATCCATTTAAAGTTACAACATCTCTACTAAATCAGACCAGTTCATCTCCCCACTTCTGATCATGGCCAATCAGATTCTATCAGCAAGATGTGGAGAAAGTTCCTCCCACTATTGCTCTTCAACATCTAATATTCAGTGGCAGTGGTCTTCTGATGGGACGGGACCCCGAAGCAAAACTGATTCTACTGGAAGCAAAGCCAATGGGAAACAGTTGTGTTAAATGATCTTGGCAAAGCTTGAGCATGAGCATTAACACTCCTTTGGCACTCACAAAGTAGACAGCTCCAAAACTGCCATGACCAATCTCCCGCAGGTCAACAAAGAGCTTCTCAGGGTCATCCTTGAAGAACAGCTCAGCCACTTCAGGGTCCTTCAAACTGCCAGCCCGGGCATTAGACGGCATGGCTGCCGTGGATGAGGCTGGGCTTCACTGTTGCTGTTCTCCTACAGTGGGAAACAAATATTAGCAAACTGAACCAGATGGGTATAAATTAGGTAATGTATTCTTATTTATAAGAATGTAATTCAACGATATCTGATGCCGCCATCTTGCTGAAGCAAAGCAAATCCTGAGAACTTTGCTAGAAGGGTACAAATATACGAAAATTATACTCCCATTTGAAGAAATAGGTTCAAGGACGCATGCAATCCTGACAAAGCCCAGAAAGCCTTTTCAAAAGGATTCTGTAAGCACCTACTCCTATTCACAGAAATAAGAGATCTGAAACAAGACAATCCGTGAGAGATGTTTATAGCGGTAAGGCCATCAATGCCAAATGGAGATGGATCTTGCTGTGATACAGAAGGTAGAATAGTCTTTGCTTGTTCAAATTGGGCTTCTGCTATTTATGTGGCAGCATTCAACTAGTAATTGTTAGGATACTGAAGTACCAATATCAGCTCTACTTATCTCTACATATCCCACTTTTCCAGCTCTAGCTCAAAATATGCTTGTGCTTTATTCTTTCTATGAAAATCCAGGAGTTTTCGATAAAGTTATACCTACTTTCCATAGACACAGAAATCAGATTTGCCCCTAATTTTTGGCCACTAAAATAATAATGACAGGAGCACATTTTCTCTTTCTCGTAAAGCAACTCATGTTTCAGTCTTGTACTTGCGCGTCCCACTTTTATATTGCAATGGGCACCGATTTCCGTTCAAGTAATAATATTCTCATCTACTGAGTTTACCAGATTGGTTATTTGCATTCATTTCTGCGCTATCTTTATTGAAAGGAGAGATAAAGACAATGATATCTATTTTTAAAAAAGGACAAGCCTTTGGAGGGCTTGCTAAATATTGTCAGTTTTATTTTTAACTGAATGTTATGTTAGCTGAGTCCAACTCAATACTGCCATGTTTTTTGTCCATTAAAACTACTCTGTTACTCTTAAGCAACTCCTCCTTGTGTAAAATGAAGAAATTGGCTATAAGAGATTAAAAAGAATTAGAGGAACATAGACCAAGGGATTTCTAGATCCTTGAAAATTTTACTTGGTATTTATTAGCTGGGAAACAGACAATTCAGTCCTTTACAAAGAATGTAGTGAGAATGCAAGTTAGTTATTTATGTATAGCCCAAATTGAGCCACAATGGTGCAGTGGTTAGAGTGCAGTACTGCAGGCTACTTCTGCTGACTGCCGGCTGACTGCAATTTGGCAGATCAAACCCCACCAGGCTCAAGGTTGACTCAGCCTTCCATCCTTCCGAGGTGGGTAAAATGAGGACCCAGATTGTTGGGGCAATAGGCTAACTCTGTAAACCGCTTAGAGAGGGCTGTGAAGCACTGTAAAGTGGTATAATTGTTATTGGGGTACACCAATCTCTTCATTATTGTGCAATGTCACCCAAGTGTTAATTTTTATGAACATCACATGCATGCACAAGAACTATTGACCACTTTAATAAGCAGATATCAAGAATGTAATGAGAGAGAAAAAAAGTATGTAATTCACAAATGCAGGCAAATATACGTGTCCCTGGATAATGTTGCAGGATCCATTCTGGATCGGTCACGGGACCAAAGTTTTAATCTTCCGAGCTTTTGGACTCATGCTGGAGACCATCCTCAGGGAACTTCTCTCTAAAGGAATGTCAAACCAGTTCCCCGAGGATGGTCTTCAGCAGGAGTCCAAAAGCTCAGAAGACTAAACTTCTGGCCCCGATGACCGACCCAGATTGGATCCTGCAAGAGTGTAACTGTTTCTGGAATATGTGAGAACAGCTGTATCAGATGACACTGCCCCATACAAAAAAATTGCTCCTTCGCTGTAAATATTCTTTTGGAAATGGTAATTTTTCTACACTCTTTTCCCATCTTCCAGTCTGCTATATCTACAGCAGATTTCTCCAACTTGGTTCCCTTCAAATGCACTAGACTACAATTTCCATCCAACATCGTCAAAAACTTCTTGGGAAATTTTTAAATTTATAATCTAGAAATCTAGATGAAACCCTTTGGTAGGCACATTCTGGTTAAAAGCTACTTACACAACATTTCTAAAGTGAGCCCTTTAAAAGCTAAAGATATACATTTAAAAATTGATACTTTGAGCCTCTGAAACAAGATGGAATAAATGTTAAATGTACAAGAATATTTAGTCTAATCACAAAATAACCATGTGGGTAAAAAATGAGCCACACTCCAAAAAGCAAGAGGAAAATGTGTGTCCTACCAAACAGATTACTCTTTTTGTTCTCAATCCAATGGTGAAGAACTTAAGATTCCCAAAATGTCCAACAGAAGAAGCCTGGCAGATTCATGAGCAAGAAAACTTACTTGCCAGCAGCTGACATGAATAACAAGGATTGTAGTTGCAGTCTTGAATCTCTTGGTTTCTCTCATGTCTAGTTCATTCAAAAATCTTCATGAGTATCTTTGACTGCATTTCTCCCCACATTAAGGATGGTCCAATCACAATTCAGAATCTAATAACTTAATCTTAATCCAAGAATAAATTCTGGAAAATATCAGCTCCTCTCTAGTTAACTACACTTCAGAAGTTCAGCATTTTCCTTATTTGCTCCTTAGAAAAAATCCATAGTAGTTAATCAGCAGCACAAGTTATCAGGATCCAAAGTTTCCCAGAAACCATCTTGTTGCACCATTCGCTGTACAGTGCAGCATCAAACAGGAATACCCAGTAAACTTTACAGGTAACAAAGGTCTCTTTCCATTACCAAAATAAACTGTCTACAAGCTGCCTATCCTCCACACTGCTGCTTTAACTGTCAAATGCATAAAGCACCAGGGTTTCTATGCAGATAAAGAGCTTGACAGACCAGGTCTGCAGACCTAGTCTTATCCCTGGGAAGCACAGCCACCTAGATGGGAGGTTTCTCACACCAAGTCTTCCCCCTTGACTGGGTTGCAACTGAGGAGACTGAAAAAAAATAAGACCCCGCAGCCTTGCTGCAACTTTAAACTTTGTAACAACTACAGAGTCCCCCCCCCCTGTTCACTCTCTGGGATGGGCAGTGATTGCTGGACTGACTCCAGTGGGTTGAAATGAAAAATAAGGAAATCAACAGTTTGCAGGCAGGTTATGCCGGTCAGAGGAAATCCTTGCATTGTTCAGTTGCTTCCCTGGGAACAATCTAAAGAAGAAGAAGAAAAAAAAGGCAACGTGTAAGGCTAGCCTTGGCAGTGATACTACTGGCAAGAAAGCACCTGGAAGGATTCCTGTTGTGGTGGTTGCTGCCTGGCCTGCACCAAACTGGCCAAAAGTTAAGGCAGACCCCGGAGATTAAGTTTTCAAAACGGGGCTATAAGGGTAGGGAGGCCTGTAATAAGGAATCGTTTGGAGTTCAGCAACTTCACAAACAGTTATGCGTCCTACCAAAAGAGCACACAAACTGCTTAATCTCTTAAACATGAACTTGCTCTTTGGCAGGCAACAAGAGCAGAGAATTATTTCACCCGTTTACTTTAAATGGAGACTCATGAAGTAGTTTGTATTTAAGTCATGAATCCTAAAAAAATGTTTTTGTTTTTAAAAAAACAAAACAAAAAAAACCCACTCCGAACTGAATCGAATCATTTTATCAGCTGTGTTGAAATACTACATTTCCAAGAATTAACAGCAATAGAATAATTGAGTATACTTAACTTGAAAACAATTTACAACATTTAAAAGCATAATACCCACGGTATCTAACCTAAAAACACAAGAACTTCTGAATGGAAAAAACCAAACCCTCCCCTCAGGAGAGTCTAATTTATTTTTATTTCACATACACTGCAGAGTGCAACTAAAAGCAACATCGACAAGAGGAAGAACCTTCTCTTTAGACGAAGTTACTGACAAAGCCACGCATGCTGTTTTTAAAGCATATTATTTTGGCTCATGTGTTTCATCTATTTATAGTGTAACAGTAAAGGCAAAACCTTCAGTGAACTAAGCACCCATAATCAGAAAGATATGGGTTCTTCAACATCTGCAGAAACTGCTGCAGGAGCTCATCGAATGATTCAGGGTCAGATATCAACAATATTTTGATGATACCCAACTATATGTCGTGACCCTGGGCAGTCTTGTTCCAATGTCTTGGAGGTTTTGTTGTTCTAGATGGGGCAGAACAGGCTTAAATTGAACTCTAGCAATACAGAGCTACTGTTTGTATGTTGGGATTTATTTATTTTTATTAAATAGATATTTATATGCTGCCCACCTCACTATCCGCATCCCTCTATGCCCCTTGTTTTGTCTCTGGATGAGTTTGACCTTCCTCTGAAGGAGCAGGTTTGTGACTTGGGGGCCCTCCTGGACTCGTGACTCTTGCCGAATCAGTAGTCAGAAGTTGTGCTGTGAGGGCCTTTCCCCGGTTTTGGCTTCCATGCCAACTGCAGCCTTACTCGGGACGGGAGGACCTGACTAGAGTGGCTCATACTGTCATACTAACCATCATCCGGTTAGATTACTGCAATGTATGCCACATTCCAGGTACAATTTAAAGTGCTGGTTTTAATCTATAAATCCCTCCATGGCTTTCTGCCAGGTTACTTACAGGATCATCCCTCTCCATCAGGTCACTTTGTGCCAGGAGAAGCATTTGGTTGTGTCCCCCCCCCCCCCAATTAAAAAAAATCCCAAAACACAATTTTTCTATGATAAGGCTGGCCTTCTGGAATGGCATTTGGTTGGCGATGTACCTATCTCCAATGTTATTTGCTCTCCGGAAAAAGTTGAAAACAGAGCTTTTCTGGAGGGCTTTTGAGGCCAGATATTGTATTGTTTGAAGATTTACACAGTTTTATTTAGATTATCGTGTTTGTTATTGTAAGCCACTGATAAAGTCTTTTTAGGATTGCAGCACAATAGAAATCAGATGAATAAATAAATGGTTGGATAAGATTCTCACGGAGTAGATGGACTATAAGGAATTAGTTTTTAGGTAAGGAAATGAACCGTCAAAGCTTTCCAACACCAGAAATTTAAAG